TTAACACAACGTGGTGCGATTGTCCCCTTTGCGCGGAGTGAGGGTTCTCTATCCCGCACAACATGATCTACTCGACCACCACAAGAGTTACCGCCAAAACCAAACCAGAGGTAAAAAAAAAAAAACGGGAACCTGGTTGCCGAGTTCACGAAGTGAATTGGCTTGTTTTACAACGTCGTTGCCAAGCGACGAAAACCCAACCCCGATGGCAAACACCGGGGGGGTACTCACCGGGAGGGGCGGGTTGTTTTACAACGTCGTTGCCAAACGACGAAAACCCGACCCCGATGGTAAACACCGGGGGCGGTCATGAGTGAGGGATGGGGGCCATAAAGCCAAAGCGCAAGCCAAGTTCCAAGGGGTGGTGAGAGAAAGATGGAGACCGACAAAACATGGCAAACCGCCCAGGGAGTAAATGCAGGTAGGCGCGGGCGGGCAAGGCAGCTTGGTCTACAGTTGTCGCAAAGGAAGAACCGCAGGAGTCCTTTCGCACGGCGCACGCCATCTCTGACCAAGGTAGGTCCTCTCCCCTCGTGCTGCAGTCCGCCATCGGGGGTACAGGCGTCTCTGAAGGGGGGAGTTGTTGGCACCCTCACAACCACTTTACTATAACTTTTCGCCGCACACTGGCTCCGTGGCACATGTCACGAAATGACACCGTTTGACGAGATTAGCCGCTGACGTGTTCAGTGCCTGCCCAGTACTGCCCCCAAGGGCAGTAAATGAGGGGCCAACAAAACGGCGAAACACCCTCCTCCTTCTGTCCACCAAAAGCAGAACCGCTAGACGTATCGGACCCCTGCGCTTTGCCCTTCCCTCAAGCACAGAACATCCAGGAAACCACGTGACGAACAAAATACACCCCCAGTGAATTCCTAGCTATAACAACATGATTGACAGCACTGCTGCTTCACCTGCATGACGTGGCCCATGATGAACGGCCCGACCGGCTTGTTGCGATTTCGCAGGTGCTCGATCGGCAAGCCCAGCCACGGGTACGACAGGGCCAGCATTTGCTGTTGACGCGCGGCGGCAAGCACAAGGCGAAGGGGTGGCGGTACGTGAAGGGTGGTCGGAAAACACTACAGCGCCCAGGGAATAAAAGGGAAGGGTCTCCCCCACACCGGTTGCCGAGTCTAATAAGATATCAAAACACACCCCACCACCAAGCGTCGCTAGACGAAATGCCGTGCGCAGTTGCACAGCGT